TGGCCCATCTGTTCCCATACTTTCTCGGTGTTTGTTTCCCCACCCCCCCCCCCTACTTCCCAGAGGTTTCCCATCCTTTCCCGGAGGGAGAATCGACGATTCATTGTGTCTGCGTGTGCTTTTTCCTCCTTGGTCCCTGCTCCCGCGTGCCCGCGCAGCGGAGGCGGGGCGTGCCTTTCGTCCTGTTGCCCAGGAAGAGGTGGGCCAGAGCCTCGGGCGCCCCGGCCCGCCCCGGCCATCCTCGCGCGCGTCCTTCGGCATGGTGAGCGTCTTCTGATTCGGCGTTTCGACACTGAGCGAAGAGGGGGAGGGGTGGGGGGGGTCTGGCCCTGGACCCCTGCTTGGTGCGACCGTTCGCGGCAGTGCGTCCTAGGAGGGAAGACTCGCAGGATTGCAGAAAAACCCAGGATTGCAAAAAAAACCATTTTTGTTACATGCTCGAAGGGCTTTTGTTGCAATCCTTGTTTGCAATCCTTTTTGCACGCTCGAAACAGGCGCCAAAAACAGTCAAGATCTGCTCCAAAGGGGGGGGGGGAGGGGCGGGAGCGCGGGCCCGCGCCGATCGGCAGAACGCTTGCTACAAAAACGACCACACGACGCTCGTCGGCCCCAGTTTGAGACCAGCCTCCCTCTCGCCGGCTGCTGCTCAAGATTCATGGGCCTGCTTCCCACCACCACTACCATAGGTTGGAAGGGGCAGGGGATCCCCCTCCTCTTCCTCCTCCTCCTTCTCCCTCTTCCTGCTCTTCCTCCTCCCCCTCCTCCCCTCCATGATACGGTAGTGGTGGTGGAAAACAGTCCCATCAAAGATGCCGAGCAGCACACTCGAGAGCGAGCTCCCGCGTCCCTCCCGATCCATGTCCTTTTCCCAGCTTCTCGCGCCGAGCCTGGCTGTTGCAGCAAGTTTATGTGCATCATGTGTAACAAGGGCTCCCAACTTCGCGCTTCGCGCTCCGCGAAGCGCGAAGCGCGAAGCGCGAATAACTTCGCGCCCTCGCGCCGCCCTCCCAAAGGGAGAATAGGAGGACGAGGAGGAGGGGGAGGGGGAACGAGGACCGCGAAGCGCGAAGCGCGAATAACTTCGCGCCCTCGAGGGAGCCCTTGTGTAAGAGCGAGTTCAGGACAGGTTCCGCCCTACTGGCGCCGATTAGTATGTATAAATGTCCCTCTTAGCGTCTAGTGGTGCCTCTTAGCGCCGACTGGCGCATGCTAGTGCTTATTGGCGTCCATTGGTGTCTGCCGAGTCTAGTAGCAACCACCGACCACTAATAAGAAGTAGTACACGTGAATAGCCAGGAAAACAACAACTGATGATTCAAATGACTCTCACGCACAACGCACCTACAGTAGGAGCTCGACCACAAGAAACCTTCCACAAGAAATCCAACCCTGTGGCCCCAGGACGTCCATTGATGTTTGGTGTGGGAACGTCGCGCTTTCCATAGCAAGCCAAAGCCCAAAAAACCAAGGGCACCCTGGAGGCAAGCAGGGTGTTTCTTGGCATGGGCTTCCACTGTAAGCAAGGAGGTCCTCCAGGCAGCCGCCCAAGGAGAAGCAAGGAAGAATCTATAAGAATGAAAACGGCATAAACATAAACTCTTGGCGCTCCGAGCGGATTTCTTGGATCCGCGCTGGACCCCCCTCCCTGGCGCGCGGAGCGCGCCATGGGCGGCGTTGGAGGCGCCGCCAGTGGGGACCCAGCGCGGATCCAAGAAGTCCGCGCGGAGCGCCAAGAATTTATGTTTATGCCGTCTTCCTCTTCTTATTCGATGTAAGCAGGGAGGTCTTCCGGGCAGCTACCCGAAGAGAAGCGAGGAGGAGTCGGGAGCCAGGGTGGGCACGCAAACGAGGTCAGGAGCAAGGTCTTCCGGGCAGCCACCCGAAGAGCAGCGAGGAGTCGGGAGCGAGGGGTGGGCACGCCAACGAGGTCGCCCAACCTCTCGCGGCCAGGGGCCGCCCCCTGGGGCAGCTCGGGGCGGCTCGGCGCGCCGACCTGGCGGCAGGGCCGCGCAGCTCCCAGTGGTCACGTTAGCTTCACCAACATCAGCCATCCTCCTCCTCCTCCTCCTCCTGCTCCTCCTCCTCCTGCTCCTCCTCCTCCTCCTCCTCCTGCTCCTTCCCCTCCTCTCCTCCTCCTCTACCTATCCTCTCTCCTGCCTCCTTCCTCTCCTCCTCACCGCTTCTTCATCTTCATCGCGCTCCTCTCCTTCCTCTCCGCATCCTCCTCTCCCGCCGCCGCCTCCGTCCTCCTCCCATCTCTCCTCATAGCCTTCCTCCGTTCCTCCTCCTCCGCCTCCTCCTCATCCTTTCCTATCTCTCCTCCGTCTCCGCTCTCCTCATCCTAGCCGCCTCCTCCCGTCATCCTCTCATCCTCCTCCTCAGCTCATCATCCTCTACTCCGCCCTCCTCCTCCTCCTCCTCTTCTCCTCCTCCTCCTCCTCCTTCTCTCCTCCTCGCCTACGCCCTCCGCCTCCGCTCCGCCTCCGCCTCCGCCTCGCCTCCCGCCTCCGCACTCCGCCCCCGCTGCCTCATCAGCCTCCGACCGCCTGCCGCCGCGCCTATAAGAAGCGGCGCGGACGTCTCGCCTTCCTCCTCCCCTTGCTCCTCTCCGCGAATCCTCCTCCTCCACATACTCTCCTCCACTCCTCCTCTTCCTCTCCTCTCCTCTCCTCCTCCTCCTCTCCTCCTCCTCCTCCTCCTCCTCTCCTCCTCTTTCCTCCTCTCCTCCCTCCTCTCTCTCCTCCTCCCTCCTCCCTCCTCCTCCTCCTCCTCTCCTCCTCCTCCTCCTCCTCCTCCTCTCCTCTCCCTCCTCTCTCTCCTCCTCCTCCTCCTCCTCCTCCTCTCTCCTCTCTTCTTCCTCCTGCCTCCTCCGTCCTCCTCCTCCTCCTCCTCCTCTCTCCTCCTCCTCCTCCTCTCCTCCTCCTCTCCTCACCTCCTCTTCTCTCCTCCTTCCTCACTCCTCCTCACTCCTCCTCGCTCCTCCTAGTGATTCCTCCTCCTTCCTCCTCCTCCTCCTCCTCCTCTCCCTCTTCCTCCTCCTCCTCCCTTCCTCCTCCACCTCCCTCCTCCTCTTCCTCCTCCTCCTCTCCTCTACTCCTCCTCCTCCTCCTCCCTTCTCCCTTCTCCCTTCTGCTCCTGGTCATTTTAGCTTGACAAACATCAGCCTCCTCCTCCTTCTCCTCCTCCCTCCTCCTCCTCTTCCGGTCTTCATCCTCCCTTTCTTCTTCCTCATCCTCCTCCTTCTCACTCCTTCTCCTCCACGACCCTAAAGATAGTCAGCGGACGACTCACGAGAGCTCGGAGAGAGCCTGAAGCAGCCCCAACAGCAACGACTCGCCCAGAGTTGCACGACGGTATGCGAGCACGCAGGTTAGACGAGAGGGCTGCTTTGGCAACATTGCCTTTGGGCACTCTAGTCGAAAGGACGGCACGGGCCTCCACTATGTCGTGTGTCCACCGGACAGATGCCCACGGGGCACGCTGGGCAAAAAGAACAGAACAAAACAAAAAAACGCATGTGTATGCGCGTGTAGCAGCTGGCATTTCACAGAAATGCAAGAACCAACGCTCACGATGTTGTGAAAGCTCCGATCTGGTGAATGCCTGGAGCCATCCGGGCGGGAGGTCTGAGTGTGAGAGACATCATCAGCATGAAAAAGCGATGCGGCTGCAAGAGGCTAAGAGAGCAGCACACGTATCAGGACTCTGGAGAGGAATCACCGAGGGCAGATGGCGGACGGCATCTTGCTGAGGGTCGGTACCGCTGCACACTTCACGTCGGGATGCAGCAGGCCGGAGCTCATCAAGTTCACGACGACCGTGTCCCTCCCAGTGCGCCCGCCATTTCCCCCTGACGAAGCGAAGGGCGAAAGCAGAAGGACGAGGGGCACAGTCGGAGCGCCGAGACGGAAGGAACTTCGGGCACTGGAGGGGCTGGAGGCTCCTCGGCTATGTCTTTGGTCCTTCCCTCTCGGCTCCTCGAGCATCTCGACGTCCACGGCAGAGAAAGAGGCCCGCTCCTTCGGTGACAGCTCATAGGAGCCTCCCACGCCATCTTGCTGGCTGTTGCGAATCTGCGCCCACCGACTCCAGTCTGCGCTCATCGACCCAAATGGAAGCAGTTCGACACCAAATCAACGCTAGGACACACAGGAGGCTCCCATGACTTGCTGCAAAACGCCCCCTCTCCAGTCTCCAGAGGCGCGTTGGACTACTCGCAAAAGGCCTGGACCCGCCGCGGGGGATTTACAATCCATCATATCGAGGCGAACCTGTGATGTTCGAACGTTTGCGAGTAGGCACTACGCGAGTAGTGGAACCCGATCGGTGACTCTCGAGTGGCCCCCCTGGGCCAAACACCGGGCCTGCCAGCCACCGGGCGTCGGCCTCCTCGAGATCCTTCCTCCCCGTCGCGCGCGGCCGCCCTCCCGCCATGGGAGCAGCTCGCGGGCACCGCCCCCCGAGCACGCAGCCACCCCGGGCGGCAGCATCGGCCAGCATCGCCTCGGGGCATCGGCTCGAAGCGGAGCGCGCGTCGGATCGGGCCGCACCGGCACGGAGCCGAGATCGGACCGGTCCGGCTGCACCCGGAGGCACAGCAGCGCCCTGCAAGACTCGGGCGCATCGCATCGCCAGGAGATCGAGGTCGAATCGGATCGGTCTGGACGAAGGCGTCGAATCGGGATCGAATCGGATCAATCAGAGCCAAACCGAAATCGATCTCGAATCGGATCGGCCTGGCCAAATCGATACCGGACCGACATCGAGTCGAATCGATCGGATCGATCGGATCAAAATCGGATCGGCCTGGCCACAAAACGATCTCGAAGCGCATCGATCGGACCGAAATGGGCCCCCAGAGGAGGTACGCGCCCGGCCACGGACAGGAGCGCATGGCCCCTGACGCGCTCGGGCTCGCCTCCATTGGCACCCATCTTTTTTCTTCTGTCCCTCGAAAGACGGCTCGCTCACAGAGATTTGCCCAACCCCTCTCCTCCTCCACCTCTTCCGCCTCCTCCTCCTCCTCCTCCTCCTCCTCTTCCTCCTCCTCCTCCTCCTCCTCCTCCTCCTCCTCCTCCTACTCCTCCTCCTCCTCCTCCTCCAAGAGGAGGAGGGGAAAGTGAAAAAGTACTGATACCCGTGCTCCCCGGACCTCTCCCGGGGTGCGCCCTGACCGGAACTTCGAGGCGAGCCCGGCGGTGGCGGCGAGGCCCTCACAGGAGGCTGAAGAAGGCGAAAACAAGGGAAGGGCAACGGTACGGGTACCTTTTTCCCCAAGCCCCCGACGTCGTGATTCTTCACAACGTCGACTTCCAGAGGTCTGGACCCCTTCCCCGGGACCGGCTCTTCATCCTGAATCGTTTTTTGACACTCCAGAAGCCCGGTAAGGGCCCCCGAAGGCTGAAAACGGCGAAAAACCTCGCGTCCTACTTTTTTCACAACGCGAGGAGGTCCGGGCTTTCATCCGCTGAGAGACGAGCCTCGCGAGACGAACGCCTGGGCAGACGCCCTCCCTTGAGCAGGGACCGACCGTCCCAGAATTTCTATAGGCCTGCCACGAAATTCTCTTAGAACCCAGAAACGTTCAAAAAAAACAAAAACAACAATGCTCTCAGAACATGAACCCGATGGGTGAAAACACGGCAGGCCCAGCCAGAAATGTTCTAAGAACATTTTATGGAAACCACAAGAATCGGAAGCTGGGCGAGGGCTGCTAAAACCGTGGCTGCTAAAACGGCCCTCCCGGAATGTAAAAAAAACTTCCCGGAATGAGGCGCGGCACGCGAAACAGTCAACGGGCTTCTTCCCGGAAGGACGAAGACAACTTCCCGGAGGTCGATTTTAGCAGCCGCGGATTTGGCAGCCCTTGCCCGGCTTCCGAAAGAAGTTCTTAGAGCATTGTTCGGTAGGCCTACACGGGGGGCTCCTGGGGCCACGCGGCTTCGCGCGCCTCCCGCGCGGCGCGCGCCTCGCGCCGGGCGCGGCCGCCGCCGCGCTGCCGCGCGGGAACCTCCCCCCGTGGATGAGGATGGGCCCTTCCTGGCCCAGACCGCCGGCGTGAAGCGCGGAGATACACACTTTTTCATAGATCCATATATATATATGCAGAAACACACACACACACCTACATCTATATATATATATATATATATACATATATATATATGAGCAGATATGTCTATACATATATACACACACACACTTCTGCTCGCCTCCCCCCCCCCACATGATCATACACATGATCCTTGCATCCCTTCAATCCTCCTTCCCCCTTCCCTTCTCCTGTTCGTCGTTATGTTGCCATCTTGTCAGCTGCAACCCAATCGGTTGCAACCCAATCTCGACTCCAACCCAATCGCTTGCAATCCAATCGACTGTAACCAATTCGATAGCAAGCCAAAGGGGTGGCACCGACTCGATTGAAAGCCAATGGGTTGCATTCCAGCTGCTTCCACCGAAGCGACTGCAACCATGTAGGTTGCAATCGTTTGCGACGCACTGCAGTCCAATCGACAGCCCAAAGATCCCTTGGTAAAAGGTTCCTGACTACAGATTCCTCATTCAAGATTCCTTGATAGGGGTTCCTTAGTCAAGGCCCTCCTGAACGATTCCTGAGTACATATTCCTTTTCAAAGGATTACTTAGTACATATTCCATATTAAGGATTACGCCCTAACGTGTTATATCTATACGTATGGAAAATGGTTTTAAAAACAAGCAGAAAAAGCTCCTTACTACGAAACCAGCAGCCAATATTCCTTAATATGGGTTCCTGTCTAAAGATTTCGTACTCCAGATTCCTTAATCCAAATGCCTGTTTAAGGCTTCCTCAATAAAGACTCCGAATTAAAGGCTCCTTAAAGGCTCCTCACGAAGAACTCCTTCGTGAAGACTCCGCATTAAGGAGTCTTCCGTAAAGCTTCACGATTAAAGAGTATGTAAATTATATTCCTTACTGAGGGTCCCTCGTACATCTCCATTATTTCAAAATTCCTTCGAAAATATTATACGTGTTAGGGGATCCTTCATACACCCTCTTGTGCCTATTCCTTAGTGCGGGCCCCGCAATAAAGATTCCTCATTGATATTCATCTGCAAACATTCCTTACTAAGAATTCCGAGGTAAAGATCCCGTATTAAAGAAGGACTCCTTCATAAAGATTCCTTATACAAAAAAATCCGCCATAACGATTACTTGGTTTACCGATTCATCAGCTAAGATCGTTCACGAAGGATTCCTTAGCGCAGATTCCATATCTATGACTCCTTAATAGGTATCCGGTATTAAGGATCCCTTCGGAAATAATCCTTTATAAAGGATTCCTCGGTAAAAGGTTCCTCGCGAAGGATTCCTTTTGTAAATGCTTCTTATTAAGGACTCCTCAGCAAAGATCCTATAAAAGCGTTCCTTAATAAAGGTCCATCACTAAGGATTCCTTTTTGAAAATATTCTGTCCTTGTGATTTCTGAAAAAGGGTTCCTTAGCATATATTCCTCAGCAAAGATTTCATATTCAAGCTTCCTTTTGTAAAAATTCTCATTCAGTGCTCCATTCATGATCCAGGATTCCATCCTACACCTTCCTTAGCAATGATTCGGCCCAGCTGGGCGCCCAGGAGCCGCGCGCCAAGATGCCCAGACGCCCGGGCGCCCGGACGCCCAGGCGTCCGGCCGTCTGGGTGTCCGGGCGCCCGGACGCCCAGGCGCCCCGGCGCCCAGCGGGCCAGACGCCCAGACGCCTGGAGCGCCCAGCCAGGGCGCCCGGGCGCCCAGGTCGGTGCCCGGACGCCCGGGCGCCCGGACGCCCAGACGCGCCCGGGGCGCCCCGGGGCACCTGCAGAGCCGCGAGCCCAGATGCTCGGGCGCCGGCGGACGCCCGGGCGCCTGGGCGCCCAGACGCCCACGAACGCCCGGGCGCCCGGACGCCCGGGCAAGATCGGGCTCACTCCAAGACGGCGTGAGCACAACCGCTCGCCCGCGCGCGCCCCTGGCCGCAGCCCGCAGATCAACGAAGAAGGGGGGCACACGGGAAGCCCAAAGCGCTGGCACGCAGCCTCGCGTGACGGAGGTCACGAGTCACCGAAGAAGGCAGGAGTGACAGAAAACCGTGCTGACTTGTCGATTCCGTAGTCCGCCCAAAAATCACATGACTTCTTCAAGCGCCGAAGACAAGTGAATGCTCACTCAGCTCTTCCCACACAATTTGCGATCCCATGCACGGTCACAATGTCAGCTCCAAGGCCGCCCTGGGCAGTAAGCACAAAAGAAACGCCCGCGGCCTGTTCTGGTCGGGCTTGGGCAGTTGCCTCGGGCACTTGAGCCTCGGAGACTTGTAACTGTCATATTCATGTTCAGGTGACCAGATATCAGGGGCGCGCGAACATGGATCGGGGGAGGTGCCCTCCCCAAAATGCGGCCAGTGCCACCTCGCTCGGTGGCGGAAATCCGCGAATCTTCATGGAAACGGGACCCGTCGCTAATCCACGCCCCCTTGATCCATGTTCGCGATCGCCGGAAGATAAAAGCAGCCGCCACCCCACCGCTGACGGACTTCTACCAACGCACCGTCACATTCTGCCACCCAGCCACAACAGCCTCTGGTCACCATCACCGTCCACCACCGCATTCAGCACTATAGTTAGGTCGGGCGTGTCCACCTACAGGCGGGTTTCTCACGGAAAGAAATGCCCCCAAAAATACTCAAATATATTCAAGCATGGTCAAAAAATCATCCCCCGACTATTTTTGAACTATTTTTGAATACTCCTCATGTAGAGGGACAGGCCCGACTTAACACTATAGTGATCGTCACAATCACCGCGCCGCGCCAGTCCAGGCGCGCCGAACACTCAGAAATCCAAAAGTGTTCGAGATTGTATGGGCACGCGTTGCCTTGAATGCCTTGAGTGAGCGCTTCGTGAATGATCGGGCATCCCTGCTTGCCTGCCTTCCGGGCCCTTGCCTTCGCCCGCCCTTTTGATGTGGTCCCTCCACCCCATCCTGTCAGGAGCATCACTAGACCGCCCAGGTCGGCAACCAAGATACACCCTGCGAAATGCTTAAGAAATCATGGGTTAAGAAATTCATAGTCTCAGAAATTGAATAAAAACCCAGAACTTCTATCAAAATCTTGGGATTTACATTGGAAAGTTAAGAATAATCGAGACTCTGGCCGAAAACTTAGGTTTTCTTAAGCATCGCCTAAGGTGTAGACCGCCCAGGTCGGCAACCAAAGGTACGACGGAGGGCCGAAGGACCGCAGAGTGCGAAGGCTGCGCCGACGACGAAGGCCCCTCGTGTCGTCAAGCGCTACTGAAAGGGGAACTTAGGACACACAAATAAATAGACACAAATAAATACATTCCCCATATTTTCCTATATGTTTGGGGGTTTTGTCTTCCCCACCACTTCCCATATGTTCGCATATTTTCCTGGGAATCGACGATTAATTGTGCCTGTGTGTTTCTTCCCCTCCTGAGCTACGCGACATCGCTTTCTTCTGTTCGGGCATGCGTGAAAACTCCAGGATACGGTGAAGTCGAGGTCGGGCATGTCCCCCTACAGGCAGATTCTGGAGGAAAAAGTATTCCAAAGAGATCCCCTAATTTGTCAGAAAGACACAAAAAATCGTCCCAATACTATCGTTAACTATTTGTGAATATGCCTCCTGTAGAGGGACGTGCCCGACCTGAGGATCCGACGCAAGAGCTCGGGAGAGCGAGACCCGAGCCAACGAGTGAGGTCCAAGCAGACCTGAGGTTCAACTCCGCCCGCAGCAGCGGACGTCAGGGCGCCCCGGCAGAGGGGCGAGAGGCGATCAGCACCGCCCCAGACCGCACACCGATGCCCGCCTCGGGAGGCACGAGAGCGAGGCAACATACCAGTACGGCTGCTCGAACTCGCCGAGCAGAGACAGAGAACGAGAGAGAGAGAGAGAGCGAAGGAGAGAGAGAGAGAGAGAGAGAGAGAGAGCGAAGGAGAGACAAAGAGAGAGAGAGAG